TGGATGCGTGCATCAACTCAAGCTGACGGGGGACAAGCTCGGTCACCGCTACTCCCGACCACTTGTAATAACTCGGCCAGTAGTTCCCCATCTCTGCAGCCCACACTTAGGGGTGGCCAAATATATGATTTCGGAAGCCAGAATGAGAACATTTCTCACCTACCTAATACCAAAAGCAAAGGCAATGGGCCCTACTACGGTTCCTTTTGGAGATAACGGAGCTCTAGTAAATCACACGATTTTATTTCACCCAGGGAGTTCAGCTGACAAGAGGCAAAGTACAGTATGAAAACAAAATCGTAAGAAAAAGGCCACGGATATGGGGTTATTGGAAGGATCGACAACTCAGAAAAAACAAGCATTACAACTATAAGATGAGAATTTCAGTTCAACGGCGGAGACTACGGCGTAGTCCCGCCGAGCATTATGAGTTGCATTTTCTAGAACTGTCAAGGGCTTGGGGCTCCCTTGACAATTCACGTGCTCGGAGAACTTCTCCGGGAGCATAGACCCCAGCTGGTGTTTCTTTCGGAAACGAAAGCAACACTCTCAAAGATAAATAATTGAAATTCGGGTGGTCTGGCTATGTTTTGGCAAAAAGAGGTAGACGTGGATCTTATCACCTATTCAGATCACCATATCGATGTGGAGGTCTCGGATCGAAATTGTAATAACAAATGGCGAGTCACGGGATTTTATGGATATCCAGAACAGAGTCGGCGACATTTATCTTGGGCTCTCCTACGTACTTTGCGTGATCAACAAGACATTCCATGGCTCATAGGAGGCGACTTCAACGAGATACTTAGCAACAGTGAAAAAGAGGGAGGTCTTACACGACAACCTGCTCAGATTGAGCTTTTCAAAGAGGCGCTAGTGGATTGTGGGTTGAGTGACTTGGGCTTCGACGGCCCACCATTCACTTGGACCAATAACCAAACTTCCCCGCTTACAGTTCGGTTGTCGGTTGGACAGAGCGTGTGCTAATGGTAGTTGGACGTCAACTTTTCCCCATGCTAGGTTGGTGCTTTTGAACCGCTAGGGTCAGATCACATCCCTATCCAGCTAATACTCAACGTTCCTCCTGCTGGTAGATACCCGAGGAAGAAACGTCCCTTTAGATTTGTAGTTACATGGCTGTGAAGAGAAGATTGCGAAGAAGTGATTAAACAACATTGGCAGAATAGCACAACAACTGACCCGATTGAATCTTTAATCCATAAACATGATGAGTGTCGTTTGGCCTTGATTCAATGGCGACGGACAAGTGTGAGACAACCACGGCTGGTTATTGAAAACATCCAGAAAAGGCTGCAATTCCTCACGGGACTCGAGCTTACGGCTGATAGGAGAGAGAAGATAAGAAATCTTAAGAGTGAATTGGAAAAAGCGTACGAGGACAATGATATGTACTGGCGGCAACGTAGTCGAGTTCAATGGATCCAAGAAGGAGACATAAACACTCGTTTCTTCCATTCCAAAGCGACTATTCGAAATCGATCCAATACTGTTCATAAGCTTAAGGATTCATCGGGGAATTGGAAGGAGAGAGACGTGGATATTGAACGTATCGTCTCTGAATATATCGATCATATTTTCAACTCTACGAACCCGAGTGAAGATTAGATAGAGGAGGTGCTTGAGAGTGTGGATAACCGGATGTCAGGAGCTGCGAGTCAACTCTTGTATATGTCGTACTCTTCAAATGAGGTAACCCAATCTATTTCTCAAATGGCTCCACTCAAATCTCATGGCCCCGATGGTTTACCGATTATTTTTAGTATTGGCACATTTTGGGTTCTGATGTCCTCTCTTGGGTTCTCGATTTTCTAAATAACCATAAACTTCATTCTGCTCTTAACTTTACCTATATCGTTCTAATTCCAAAGGTCAAAGATCCTGAGAAAATAACTGACTTCCGACCCATAAGACTTTGGAAGGTCATCTATAAAATCGGGTCTAAGGTCTTAGCTAATCGCCTCAAATTAGTTCTCGATGACTTGATCTCTCCCACTCAGTCTGCCTTTGTCCCTAAGCGCCTTATCTCCGATAATATTTTTGGTAGCATATGAGATAAATCATTTTATTAAGGTGAATGCTAGTAAAAGAACTAATTACATGGCTATTAAATTGGACATCAGTAAAGCATACGATCGAATTGAATGGTTTTTTCTGAAAAACATTATTTCGCACTTTGGTATTCCGGCTGTTTTTGTTTACCTTGTTATGCTTTGTGTATCAATTGTTTCATTCTCCTTTTTGTTCAACGGCGCACAGTTTGGCTATGTAACACCATCGAGGGGCCTCAAACAAGGTGATCCTCTATCTCCGTATCTATTTGTTTTGCGCCGAAGCACTAACGGCCATGATTACCAAGGCGTCAGACCGAGGCGTTTTTCATGGAGTCCGAGTGGCAGCATCAGCCCCTACGGTGACGAGTCTTTTGCTTTGGCGATGACACTCTTATTTTTGGCAAAGCAACGGAGGCCAATTCCAGGGTCTTGAAAGACATTTTACTCAAATATGTCCGGGTCTCGGGGCAAGAGATAAATTTTGACAAATCTACAATGAAGTTTAGCCCGTCCACCACCAAGGAATTGAAACATGGGCTACATCAGATCCTTGGTTTTAGAGTTGTGCAGCAGCATGAGAAATATCTGGGCATGCCAGCATCTATTGGTAGAACCAAGAAAGAGATATTTGCGTATCTCCGCGACCGAGTATGGGCTAAAATGAAGGGGTGGGGTGAGAAGCAACTTTCCAAAGCGGGAAAGGAAGTCCTAATAAAATCGGTCCTACAGGCTTTCCCGTCATACGTTATGGGATGCTTTCTGTTACCGAATGGTTTGGTGAGGCATTTGGAGGCAGCTATACTTCGGTTTTGGTGGGGAAATAGCACAAAAAAAGGAATAAATTGGCTTGCATGGGCGGAATTGTGTAAACCCAATAGTGATGGCGGTTTGGGCTTTCGGGATTTAAGCGCTTTCAATCGGGCATTAGTTACAAAGCAGGTTTGGCGTATTCTATCAAATCCCAATCTTCTTTATCAAGGATTATAGCCGCTCGCTACTTCCCTCAAGGCGAACTCCTTTCAGTGCGGCTAGGGTCTCGACCTTCCTCTACGTGGAGGAGCATCTGGCAAGTTATTCATTTTCTGAAGATGGGCATTCGACGGCGAATCGGGGATGGAAATGACACTTCCGTGTGGTCAGATCCATGGCTTCGAGAGGGTGGGAATTTCAGAATTATCATGAAAAGGCCTATCTATTCGGCTTTTCCAAACAAAGTGGCTGATCTCATTGATGACTCCACCCATTCATGGAATTTGGAGGTTATTACTGGGGTTTTCTAGCCGGTGGATATTGATCGGATTTTAGAGATTCCATTGGGGTGCGGTTTTGGAAAGAATAAGTGGGTTTGACATTATTCGCCTAATGGAAAGTTCATGGTAAGATCATGCTATCACATGATTCTTGCCTCGTCGACTTCATCGGATTAGCAAAGGGGCGACAGAAGTGGGTCGCACAGTGGCGTAAATTCAGGCGAGTTGAAGTTTATATGGCATCTTGATATTCCACCTAAAGTGAGGATATTCTTATGGCGGCTGTGTAAAAATATTCTTCCAACAAACAAGGAACTATATAGGCGGAAAGTATCTTCTTCACCTCTATGTGAGCGTTGCCAAAGGGAGGAAGAATCGGCCATGCATGTTTTGTTTGAGTGTCAAGGGGTGAAGGTCTGCTGGAATTTCCTTGCTATCGAATAGTAACTTTAGTGCTGACCAACCATCAGTTTGGCAATGGTTAATCAACATGCACAAATCAGCACGCGGATCGGTTTTTAGTGGCGTCGGTTCTTGCATGGAAGATCTGGGAAAGACGAAATAAGGAGATTAAAGCATGAAATACGTGGATTATTTCCACATTGTGTTTTTACCTTTCTTATTTTTTAAACTAAATTTTAGCTATGGAATAAGTAGTGCTTAGTGGGTTAAGTATAGTGCTTAGTGGGTTAAGTATAGTGCTTAGTGGGCTAAGTAGTGCTTAGTGGATTTAATTGTGGATTTTATTCTAACTTCCTAACTAACCCACTAACCCATTTTCTTGAGTGTTCTTGTGGTTGGTTTTCTTGCAGATCATGGGCTGAGGAGTGGAAGCTTGAAATGTATATAAATACCGATTTCAATACTCAATGAATTTTATCGATTCTACGAAATAAAAAAACCGAGAGCTGAAAAGAATACATGAGTGTTTTAGAGTGGTTTTAGAATCGGTCGTTTGTACTCCTCATGAGTACAATCTTTACGTACTCCTTATGAGTACATTCTTTACGTACTTCTCATAAGTACATTCTTTGTAGTCTAGATTGTTTAGTATATATGTTTCTAGACTTGGTTGTAAGAATGATCAAGATAGTGATTCATTCATAAGTTCTTTACGTACTCCTCACGAGTACATCTTTGAAACCTAGAATTTTTAATATTTTTCTTTTTGTATCTAGATTTGAATGTAAGAATGATCATGAGAATGATTCATTCATAAGGAAGAAGTTTTCGCACCTCTTCTGTTTGTATTCTTGGAATACTGATTTTAATATATTTTTTCCGTCCTGTAAAGGGCAAGTTCACAAGTCTTTACTTGTGAACATTTTTAATTCTGAGTATTTTTCTTTTATCTTTATATTTCCGCTGCATGTTTGTTCAAGTGTCATAACACTTAAGATAACACCTCTGTATTAAACGAATTCGGGACCATAAATTATTTCAATTGGCATCAAGAGCCAACACTTGACGTATACTAAGTGTTTGTTCGTATTTTCTTTTTCAGAAACGAATTCGTGATGGATACTCAGATGATTGCTTCTATGCGACCTCCTGTACTTGATGACACAAACTACACCTACTGGACAGTCGAGATGAGGGCGTACATCAAAGCCACTGATGAGAAAGCCTGGAGATCTATTCTTACTGGATGGAAGCCACCAACTATCACATATGCGGATGTGGATGTATTTCCAACACCAGAATTACGGTGGACAGCAGACGATCTATCAAATGCACTCCAGGCAGAACTAGAAAAGGAAAAAGTTGCTACGGAATATGATGATGATGCAGATGAATGTCTCAACAATGTGGCATTTCAGATTCAAAAATTCAATAGGGCATACAGACGAAGTGGAATCAAGCCTAGACAGTTATTTCCAGATGGCTCTCCACAAAATCGAAAAACTCAACCTCGGAACAGATCTATTCCACAGAGAACATTTCCTCAAACATCTTCTCAAAACACTTTAAAAAATTCTTCATTTATTCGTTCAAATTCTGAACCCCCTAACTTGGATCATATTAAATGCAGGGCATGTTCAGGATTTGGACATTATGCTAATGAATGTGCAACTACCTTGAGAAGAAGAGGAATGAGTCTGATTTGTGCTGTCAGTGATGAGGAGGAAGAACAACCTGAACAGACAGAGGAACATCAATCCTCTAAACAAGCTCTTTCTATCACATATCTCACTGGAAGTGCTTCTGAAACAGAATCACAAGGAGTTTCTCTAGATGCTGCAACACTTTCTGAAACACTTTCAGTAACTGAAATTTCTGAGTTAGATAATAGTCATTATACATGTTTGAACTCTATTTCTTTGAATGCTGCAAAATACAGTAAAGAAGCAGTAGGAGATGAGGAAGAAATGTACAAGAAATTGTTTAGTGACTTGGAGAAGAAGACTCATGCTCTAGATGCAGCCAACAAGGAAAATCCTTCTCTCAAAGAAACAATCACTCATTTGGAGGTTGGTATCTTCAAGAAGGATCTTGAACTGGCAAAGGTGAAAGATGAACTCAAAGAAGCGACTCTAGCAATCAAGAGGATGAATACCGACACAACTAAACTCAAAGAGATTGTTTCACTGGAGAAGTACAACAAAAATGAAGGTCTAGAGTTCAAAAACCATGCGAAGAAACACAAGCCAGTAAAGAAGAAGGAGATTGTCTTTGTAAAAGAGAAGGGTTCAAATGGAAAAGAATGCAGAAATTCCACAGTCACCACTTCAGAGTCCAGAATAAGGGGATACATTTGTCATGACTGTTTCTCACCAGGACATACCCGTCCATTGTGTGAGAAACTAAGTAGTGACAAAATGTTGTACAGGGTGAGTCACAACACTCCAGGGAACACCTCCAAGAAAAAGGTAGAATTTACCAAAAATGAGTGTAGAATATGGACTCCCAAAGGTAAACTTATGTGCAAAGCAGTATACACTTCTTTAAATGCTAACATTTCAGGTTCATGGTACTTTGATAGTGGATGCTCTAGGCACATGAATGGAACTAAAGAATTTCTATCAAACTACTATACACTCAATGGAGGACGTGTAACCTATGGAGGAGGAGCTAAAGGCAAAGTGGTTGGACGTGGAACACTCAGTATTGAGGGACTTCCAAAACTTTCAAATGTCTTACATGTTGAAGGATTGGGGTCAAATCTCATCAGTTCCAGATCAATGGAGAATTGTTATCAAACAGGTGACACCATCTCATGCAAGAGCTCAAGAGTAAGTGAAGTAGAGCTGTGGCACCAGAAACTTGGGCACACAAACTTCAAAAATCTGAAGCTGCTCAACAAGTACAATGCCATAAGAGGAATTCCTGATCTCAAGATCAAGGACATTCCTATATGTGGAATGTGCCAGAAGGGAAAGCAAACTAGAGTACCACACAAAGTGTTACAACCCGTTGGTACCACCATTTGTTTTGAACTTGTACATATGGATCTTATGGGTCCTATAGAGGTAGAAATCCTAGGTGGTAAAAAATATGTATTTGTGTGTGTTGATGATTTTTCGAGATATACTTTGGTGTATTTTTTAAGAGAAAAATCTGATCTAGAATACATGCATGTGTTTGGATGTGTTTGCTATGTCCTCAATGATAGAGATCATCTAGCTAAATTTGATTCCAAGAGTGATTTGAGTTTATTTATGGGATACTTTAATAACAGTCATGCTTATAGAGTATATAACTTAAGAACTCGAACCATTATTGAATCTGTAAATGTGGTATTTGATGATTTTGCTGATCTCCGCAGTAAAATAGCTGAAGATGAAGTTGATGACCTGATTGCTGAAGGAGAAACAACCGGAGGAGACACTACTGCCACAGATGCTCCAGATATAAACAGTCCAGTATCAAGAGAAGAGGGTGTTGAGCCAAGTGTTACCACATCTGACTCAATACTTCCTACAGAGAGCACAGAAGCTGAATTGCAGCCAACTCATGATGTCTGCAGAAAGGAACCATCAAGTAGAATCCAGAAAAATCACCCATCGACTCAAGTTGTGGGAGATATCTTTGATGGGATAAGGACCAGAAGAAAAGAGAGAGTGAATTACAGAGATATGTCGAACCAAGGAATATTGCAGAAGCACTGAAGGATGAGTTTTGGATTAATGCAATGCATGAAGAGCTGAATCAGTTCATCAGGATATGATGTTTGGTACTTAGTTCCCAGACCAAGTCATGTAAATGTGATAGGAACTAAGTGGATCTTCAAAAACAAAACTGATGAAAAAGGTACAGTGGTTAGAAATAAGGCTAGGTTAGTAGCACAAGGTTATACCCAAATTGAGGGTATAGACTTTGATGAGACTTTTGCTCCAATAGCTAGAATTGAATCTATTAGATTACTTCTTGCTATAGCATGCTTTCTTAAAATCAAATTGTATCAGATGGATATCAAAAGTGAATTTCTGAATGGGATTTTAAATGAGGAAGCATATGTAGAACAACCCAAGGGTTTTGAAGATTCTGCCAAGCCTAATCATGTTTTCAAACTTAAGAAGGCACTGTATGGTCTTAAACAAGCTCCTAGAGCTTGGTATCAAAGACTCACTGACTTCTTACTTGAAATACAGTTCAACAGAGGAGAGGCAGATAGAACCCTATTTATTAAAAGAACAAATAATCATATCATTATTGTTCAGATATATGTTGATGATATTGTTTTTGGCTCTACTTGTGCTAACCTTTTACAGTCTTTTGTAGATTCTATGTCTCACACTTTTGAAATGAGCATGGTAGGGGAGTTGAATTACTTCTTAGGACTCCAAATCAAACAGTCAGGTGAAGGAATTTTTGTAAATCAAAAGAAGTATGCTCTCAATCTAGTCAAAAGATTTGAGTTGGAGTTAGCCAAGCACATGAAAACTCCAATGGGTTCTAGCCAAAAACTGTCCAAGGATGATGTTGCAGAAGATGTTGACAACACTCTATACAGAAGCATGATTGGAAGCCTTCTGTATCTAACAGCAAGCAGGCCTGACATTATGTTTAGTGTTTGTGTGTGTGCCAGG